ATAAGTAATTATTAAAATATAATTAAAAAAGTTTTAAAAAAAATTCAAAATTATATTATTATTTTAATGATTTTTTTATATAATCTAATTAATCTAGATTTGATTACTTTAAGAATAGAGATAACAGATTATTTTTAATAGTAATTATATAGCAAATTATATAATATCATATAATATATACTGTATATAAAATTTTAGTTATATTATACAAATTTTTAATATAAATCTTATGTAATTTAGAAAACTTATAAGCCAACTTAGAAAATCTTAGTAATATATAAAATAATTTTTTTTAAACCAAAATAAATTATAAAATTTTATTAAAATAGTTAGAAGTTTTGGATTTATATACTATATATATATATTTTTTAAATATTAAGGTAAGTACTTATAACTCAGAATTTTATTGATAGTATATTTGACTAATAGGTTCATTACATCTACAGAAATTAACTATAAAAAGAGTATATAACTAGCTATTTATATAACTTTAGTCATTGTCTAATTTAAATAGTCTGTCTAAAGGTTTTATACTAGCTGTTATATCTAAAACTTGCTTGTAGTTTCTTTATTTAAACATTTTAATTCTTGTATCTATCTATTTATCTTTGCCTACCAACAATTCCAGCCAATGCTAATAAAAATATATCATGGTTATTAAGATTTTAAAGCAGTTTATTCATATAAGAAACCTTTGACCTTGTTCTAAACCTTTAAGTATCTTCTGTATCTTATTTTTATTACTAATCTAGTATTATTATGACTGAGACTAATACTTACAATTAGGACATACTATTAAACTGCTATGTCTTTATAGAGTTTATCTTATCTTTAATACTAACTTCACAATATATTCCTATTAGTTTGCTATTAATTTAAGTTCTATCAAGCTGCCAACTTAGATAGCTTAGAAAGATAGATTGTAACTATATCTTTGGTTTACATGTTCTTTATCATGTATTCTTTTTTTTTAAAATCTGAAAATTCTAATGGACTAATTAGTTCAGTTAGTTTTTTTCTAAAAACCAGAACATTTGTCTAGCTTTATGAGTTTTAGCTCTGTTTTATAAGTTTAGTTTTTACAATAGTATTATTAAAAGTTTGAGTTATCTCTTTATTTAGATTTTCTAAATAGGTTTTTGTCTTTTTGGTTCCTGTAATTTACATGCTTCTAGTAACTTATTATGAATTTATACTGTCTAGTACTGGTTTGTGTTTCTTAGTATAAGATATAACAATTATATGAATAGTATATAATCTTTCAGTTAGATTGGTATAATATAAGTAACAAATATCTGATTTTAATTAATAGCAGAAAACAGTTAACAATAATACAGAAAGAATTTTCAAATTTTTACTAATATTTAAATTTGAACTTTAGACCTGTCACTTAAGAATTAACAATCTGATTACTTTACTAGGTTACTATATTTTAGGATTTATATATTATTAAATTTTGGTAACAATTAAATATAATATTAAAAAATTTTATAGAAATGTAATGACCTAGTAAAATGATCAGATTGTCAACTCTTTAAATAGTAGGTTGAATGTTCAAATTCAATTAACAACAAAAATTTAAATACTTATTTATAAAATATTTGTATTATAACAACTGTTACTAATGATTGGATTAGGTTATCTGTAATGCTAGTCATATCAGCATGACTGGCAGGTCATATGCATTCATATAACTAGTTATACAAAAAAATGCAAACTGACAAATCAGATAATACAAACACTAGATAAGTTCTTGTGACTATATAAATCTGTTAAAATTAGATAACAAAAAGTCTATTTGAAAAGAACTAAATAAAGAAATAGTCAGATTTTTGATGGTTCTACTATAAAGACTAACTTAAGAAAATAGATACCAAAATTAATATATCTGATTATAGTATTTGATTGGACAAAAACCTCTGAATTGGAAATCTTAGAGGTACTACCAATCAGACTGCTAAAATGAACTAAAAGAAAAGATATTAGGCTGACCTGATATACCAATAGACTGATCATAGTTCTATAGAGACTATCTGGATTAAGAGTTTGAACAAAAAACTAAACAAAAAACAGAGATATACTAAAGTACTAAGATTATGTTATAAAGTATATGCTGAAATTTGTGTAAACTTTACAAAAACATAAGGATGGCAATCTTAGTATAGTGGTTAGATTGTTATCTTTCAAGTGGCAGGTCTAAGGTTCAAATCTCACTTATGATGAAATTTGAAAATTAACCTGTATTACGACAAACAGTTTCTTGATGATCAGTTAGATTTGTGTATTTGTAACTTTAAGTTACATCATCTCAAATGGGAGCTCAGAGCATCTATGCCAAGTATAACACTACACATACTTAAAGGAATGTTAATAACTAGTGTTGTATAAGATTTCAGTGGAAACCTATAATAAGACCACCAGGCACAGTAAACTAAGAAACTGAAGAGTTGAAAACTTACTTGAAAATTTCTAAGTAAAGAGATAGCATGAACTTTCGATAGTACAGTCAGACTGATAGAAGCCATGAAACACTCCCAAAGGGATAAGCAAATAAACCAAATGTTAAGATGTATAGAGAAGCATATAACCAATCAGGCTGTCAGAATCGCTAAAGAAAAAGGATATATAAGAATATCATACCAGGATATCTGAATTGAAAGTCAGAGGAGTCCTGTTAATTCTGAGTAGCAGTTAGTAAGAGACAATAGAGAAGACATCACAATGATAGGTACTGGGGTTCTAGTAAACTTTATAAGGGTAAAAATAGTATAATATAGCAGTTAAACAGGTAACTCCTGTAATTGCAAGTATTAGATAACTATAGTGTATTGCATAAAGCTAGATCAGCTATGTGTAGAACACAAAGTTTTAGTAAGTTTTCTGTCAAGGATAAACTAGTCCTAAGAGGCCTTAAAGGCATCAGGTACTTTGAATAGATATAGCCTTGAAGATGTTCCTGTGAGACATGATGGACTATATATGCAAAGGATTTAAATAGGCAAGACTCATAGTTGGCTTGCAGGTATGACACCTAGTATAGAATTTGTATAGTAATATATAGGTGGACTACTTAAATTAGGCACCAAAAGTGCACATATGGCTAGTTGTAACCTTCTATATAAGAGAACTTCTGGAGGCATCCATGTCCAAATACATGAATAAAAACATTAACCCTCATAGACAGAAACTTTAATACAAAAAAAAAAAAATTTTTACAAAAACATAATGATTAAATAATATAACTTTGACTACAAGTATTAGTTTTGCTATAGCAATATCTAGATCAATTGTAAAAATAAATACAGAAGACTTTAAAAAATTTATTTTAAAAATAAAATAATTCTAAGTTGAGATGATAATCTGAGCATCTGAGTATAATCTAGTGAGTTAATACAGGCTACAGGTTTAAAGTGTTTAAATTGGAACATTCAAACAAAGATGTTAGATATAACAATTAATGAAAAACCTTCAAACAAACTTTTTAAATAAGTAATATAAAAAAGTTATATGTATAACTAATTGTACACTCTTCTGTAATAGTTCATAGAATTACATTATCAAAAAATTATTAATAAAAGTTAAAAGACCAAAAAGGTCACCTTAATATCAAAAAAAAAAAAAAACTAAACAATTTTATTAGTAATATGTTTTTTTTTAAATAAAAAATTTTATTTGTTAGAAAAATCATATGACAAATGATTTACATCACTTTTACTCTTAATTTATGCTTTTAATCAAATTTTAATTTTGTTAATCCTAGTAAAACTTCTTTATACAATTTGTTAATTATCTTTCTAAGCAAATATTTTATAAGTTAAATATAAAAATGTTGATATTGTTTAACCAAAAGGTGTCAAACATATGCAATTCTTATAATCAAGACTTTCTGTAACATTAATATTATACGTAACATCTATACTTTACAATTAGATCTTTTTCTAAGAATTTTTTTATCCAATTGATATGTAATTTGAACTTATTTTATAAAACTTCATGTTTGATTATTTTGGCTTTTAAATTATAAAAACAAAACTCAGTTTTGCTTTTAGCCTACCTTGAACTGTTAACTTTGTTTGTAAGAACCTAAAAGCTTAACCACTAAGCTACAAAACACAGACTTTGTAATAATGCACATGTTAAATTATATTAATAGTTAATTGAATTATTATTATTGCATTTGTGATGCTCTATAATCATACATTAATAAACTACTAACTTTAATATTCTTTAGATCTCAATAAACAGTATTATGATAATTTAGATAATTGTTTTATATTATTAAATGTTCAAAATTTTATGTAGTAAATATTTTTTATTTGTTTACAAGTTTGTAGTTAATTACTGTAGCGAGTAATAATCATAATGGTTTTTTTTATTTTGTTATAACAAAGTTTTGTTCCTTGTAATCAAACTTACTGCTGCTTCTTCGCCGTCATTGTGAGTTCTATATTTCAATATCTGGATCTTTTTCACCGTTATTTTAAGTCTTATGTTTTAATAGCCAAATTTTTGTCATTATTTAAGTTTTGTCTCCAATATACAACTTGTTTATATACCAAATAGACCATCAGGTTTAAGTTCTCGTGCAATATTGTATTAAGCATAGTGATTCTAGAAAAAATCTTGTAATTCACATTATCAAGCTTTAAATACTCAGGGTGAATAAATATGTATGTGCAACATGATACTAGATCCTTAATATAAACCCCCCCCTGATAGTCAGACCTATATCTATACAATAGACCCACGGGTCTATTACTTTGTTTTAAAATTGGTGGTGTAACAGACCCGGGTCTTGTATACGGTGATTTACGGTAATAGGTTATTAGTATTTCAAAACTGATACAAAAGCTGGCTTAGGGAAGTCATACTGTAAATAGATTGATCCGGAACCAAATCAAATTTAACTTAGGTTTGAAATTTATTGCATTAAAACCCCATTCTTTTAATTTGGAACATAAAGGATTTAGAACTAAGCCAAACTAGTTTTAACATCTAGTTCAAAATAAACATATTGGATTGTTTTGAATCATGGTTAAATTAACTTTGTGTCCAAGTAACTAAAAAAAAAAAATAAAATCTAAACTTAAAGCTCAAATATTAATTAATATCAATATACTAGTACTTTACCTCGCGAATATTATTGATTCCGTATTTTATCATTGTAGGTCTTTCTAAGCTGAAAAAAAGATTTATATTAGATTGAATATGACAATATTTGTGTAATACAATAATGTGAATACCTTAAACCCCAAGCGATAACCCGAACGTCTGGATCCAATCCCATTGGTTCTAACATTTCTGGACGGAACATACCAGAATTTCCTAGTTCCACCCATTTACCAAGACCTTTATTATACAAAACGAAAAATTTTCATAAGGTACTAATTAACAGGACTTATCCCATAAAAGTAAAATTCTTGCCTTTGTGATACGAAAAGATCTCCATACTCGGTTCAGTATACGGGTTATATGCAGGTTTAAACCGAAGGTTTTTTACCCCTATATAAATATACGAAATATACGTTAAATCATAATTTGGTAACATTGATAATAAAGATTACAAATATTACTAACCCATTTTATTAAAAAAAGTGTTCATAAATCCAATTAAGTCCCCAAGCGTTAATCCTTTATCTGCAATAACACCTTCCACTTGGTGGAATTCAGCCAAATGAGTAGCATCTACAGTCTCGTTCCTGAATACACGATCTATGGAGAAATATTTAACCGGTTTGAATTCTTTCTGTTGTGCAAGTTTATATAGCATGAGCGAAGATACTGCGGTGGTGTGTGTTCTTAAAATCAACTTTTGTGCTTCTTCGATTTTCCAGTCGTAACCATACCCAATGGAGCCATATCCTCCAACAGAATGAACCTCCTTAACGCGTTCAAGATATTCAGTGGGGAATTGTGTGCAAATTGCAGGATCTATAAATCCGCAATTATTATTTGTGAACAATGAATAAAGATTATTATTAAAATCGTTAACATAATACCCTTTAAAAAGAAAGTATCGTGAGCATCACGAGCAGGATGTTGTTGAGGCTGAAAGAGAGAGTCAAAATTCCAGAAAGATGACTCAACAAATTTATTTGTTGGCATTTCTTCAAAACTATAGATGGTTACAATAAAGTTTATTTTTAGACCAATTAATTACTTTTGCAAAATAATAAATGATAAAATACCCCATTTCAAAGAAAATTTGCCGAAATTCTTCGCGAACCTTCAATAGTGGATGCAAATGACCACCTGAAGGTGGTATACCAAGAGCATCAAAGTTATATTTTTTGAAATTTGCTTTTTTCCATTCACCACTATGCGAACATAGTCAGTATTGAATAATATTGGTAGAATGATAAATTAACTAAAAATCTAAGCAATGCATTATACCTTTGAAGCATCTCAAATGTTACGTCTCGAGCTTGTTTCTCTATAGTCAATGAGAATTTGGATCCTTTCGATACGGAATAAGAAATAACTTTACTAAATTAATTCAGAAATATATTAATTCAATTAAGAATGACATAATATTACACCAAAAAGAAAATTTAAAATGTAACATGATTATATACTGTTTATCACAAAGTTTCCTTTTTCTCAATTCAGACAGCACTTTTGGATCTGAATGCGTTCCAGTTGAACGAATCGCTTCGAGATCAATTCGCGTTTGATCTATAATGGAATCAACCTTTAAAATAAAATGAAATCTTAGAAAGTTACATTATTATCATTAAATAATATATGCCATATTAAACCAGATGTAGACATACAGCGCGGACTAGATTGTCACCATTCTTGGTAATCCATTTATTTTTGAAAGCTTTGCCTTGCCCAATTTTTGCAGTTTCGCCCAAAATTTCCTACGTATAGTTTTTAGAAAATGGTTTAAAGATTAAATAGACTAGGATGAAGTCATGCAATGGGTATACATACATGTAATGCAGAGATGGCTATTCCCTCTTCACCAATAGGAATAGCATCAAAGACCTTGGCTTCGTGGCTTCCTTTATTAGCAATTTCATTCCCCTCATCTGTCAGTATCCATACTTCTTCTTCAATAGTTTCATATTTGACCATCTATAAAAAACGTCAGGAATTACATTACATGAAGGAAATCTGTTTTTATCGAAAAAAAGCGAACCTCTTTGTCTGCAATACTCAAACTCTTCAAGGCGCCGAGTAATGCTAATTGATCCACCTCCTTGTTATCAGAGGTTACAAGATCTTTTGTGTTGAGAATTGTACCTCTTACATCGAGAGTTGTGAGAACTAGATTCTGAAGCTCTTCCGTTGTGCTCATGATTTCGAGTAAACCATAAATTAAATTTAAATTTCCATTTATATATTTTTGAAATACAAATTAGTCTTCAGAAAAAGATGATCTTATGGATTATAGATAAATATCATTCCCAAGGATTTAACTAGTATATAATAGAAATAACTAAAAGCCTATACAACGAAATTGAGTTTTATTTTAACGCTAATAATTATTTACAAATTACATCGATACATATACATGCGTATGCAAAAAAAAAAAAAGTCATAAGATTGTTATTCACAAATCTCGAAACATTGTATACAAATCAAAGTTTGCCGTAAGACAAAATGATCTCAATTAGATGACTACGCTAATGAGTTTCTATAGAACTTCCTTCTTAACAAACAATAGTCACCCCACTTCAGAGATCCCAATTTTTTCACAGCAGAATTGTCATTTATCGTTCGAATGGGTAAATAACTAATCACCACCTTCATTCCTTGCCAAAATTTGGGTGGAAAATAAAATGCTCGCGAAAATCTATCAGAGTTTGCGGCATCTAAGAATGATTTACAAATGACTTCATTCCAATTATCAGTCTGAGTTACGTATCGTGGTTCATTTGCAGAAGCCTGTGTGTAGTTAGTTTCTAGATCGACAATATAATCACATTGATCAATATCCACCTATTAAGAAATAAGTGAATGCAAGAATTTCAATCACATAAACAATAATACGGAGAAAATATGTAACATATATTTAAAGATCTCACTTACATAACGATCCATTTCCTCCTTATTAACATCATTGAATCCTTCTTGGATCATCCAAGTACCATCACGTTTATAATTCATCTTTGTTCGACTTTCAGAATCAACTTGCGTATCTTCCAAAAAATATTTTGGTAATTGTCCATTGAAATCTGATTTCAAAAATCTCAGCCTAACGCCATCTGGCAAAAAATAGTGACTAGGAAAACGATACCACTCTTTCCCGATACAGAGATTTATTGGATTATTGAGATTCAACTGAAGTCTCTGCGTTTCGACTTGTTGGGGAATTTCCACATAATAAAAGTGTTTATAAATCGCCATTGGTGCATTATAGTGATAATAAAGTGCAAAAACGCGTGAAATAGAAATTACACTCGAAATAAAAAAGATGCTAAATGTGAACCATTTTAAATAACACTTCCGATTAAACTGGTTTTTTGATAAAATTGAGGCAATTAGATAAATACACAACCTAGCCAAAGGGTAAGATAATGAGCAAGTTTACTTACAGTATATGGAATATTTTCTGACAGAGCTGAAAGAAATCGATCAATCCACCCTCTGACTAAAAATATTGCAACAGCAGCGTTTAGACACACTAAAGGATAGATAACAAATAAAAATCTTTCTTCCTTATGAGGTTGCACTATAAAAGTGAAAAGCCACACATAAAAGGGCACGAGTCTGAAAGAAAGAAAAAAATAGGCGTAAACAGAACCAGCTGCTGGCGAAGAAGAAATACGTTGATTGTCGACTAAAATAGTTACAAACTACACAATATATATGTAGTCAGATCCTTATTAATTAAACATTTAGAAAAAACACCAAAAATACATACTAAACCAGGTAAACTAATGAGAGCCATTATGAACATGATGTTAAAATTCAAGAGGCCATTCATAATGTAATAATGCCAAGGTTCAGTACCATAAATATCAGGGCCACGATCTTTTCCACCGAAAACATTGTATGCAATAATGTTCCACGGAACTATGTTAAATTTTTTATAAAAATAGTAATCTGCTAATGCAAGCGGAATCTTTTTACCAGAAATTTAAGGTTAGGTTTTGACAAAATAAAAGGCTAATAATCATCTCGTATTTGAAAAATCCATATTCATTAATACCAGTATTATACATAAGGAAGTAATAACTCCGAAAATCAAGCGTCGAATTCTCTCAAGTGGCTTCTTTAGCGCGTTTCGAAGCACCAATTCTTCGAATGCAGCAGGAATCCCCAAGGCAGCACTAAAAGGCCATCCTAAAAGTGATCCAAGGCCAACCCAAAAAATAGTTCGATGAACTCTGCGCCCAGAAGTCGTTGAAACTGGCATCAGTGCATAAAAGAAAGCTACCATAGTTGTGTACATTGCGAATGTGGACGGAAGATATGCTGATAATATGAAATTTATAAACTTTTATGTGATTTATGTATCAACAAAAATAATCTTAATTTTACATTTGGCCTACCAGTGGATGCATTCCACATTCCTGCGCTAAGAAGCATTGTGATTATCAAATAACGTCCAACTCGCGGCCCTAAATAAGTTAACGCAGCGATATAAAACATCGACTCGGATAATGCGCACACTATTGCGAAGGTCGCACGTATGGCATAAAAGATTTTGATCTGTTTAAATTAGAATAGTCAATCAAAATGAACATAAGCTAATATAAACAACAGTGTGTTAATATCAACAATACCTTATCGTGATTGAAAACGAGGCCGAATATTCCACCAATAATTGCGTGTAATTTAATATAGGCCCAACTTCTTATAGCATATTCAGGAGAATACTCCCATGTTTGCATTCCGTATCCATACTGTAGATAGTGCGTTGGTTCCCAATAATTAAATACCTATAATGATAGATGATAGATACATGCAGTTAAAGAAATTTATTAAATCCAATATGGATCTTTGCTTGAAAAATCACCCTTCGACATTTTCCGATCGGGTTAATTCAGACAAACTTACCAGTTCTTACTTACATATGAGTACCGTCAAGGGAAACTTGTCATCGGTTTTCAATTTATTTTGCACTGGACTCATTTATTAGTGACTATGTCCGATACAAAATATAATTGAAAGCCTGATGACAGGTTTTCCTTTGACGACACTCATATAAATCATCTTTGCTTTTATTGATTCAATAGTTTATCGAATAAATTATTGAATTAATAAAGGCAAAAGATGATTTATGTGCAAGAACCAGAAAGTTGGTTGAAGTTTATCCGAATTAACCCGATCGGAAAACGCCAAAGGGTGGTTTTTCTAGCAAAGATCACAATTTTTTATTTCGCATTCAATAAGCTTACTTCATCACAATCAGCTATGTTGGAGAAAAAAACGGCAGTTAAGCGCACAATCAAAAAGGCAATGAAAGCTATTCGACCAGGTGGACAATAATAGGGTATCCCTGAACGAGTCAAACTGAAGGCATACTAGGAGTTATTAAAGCATTTATATTTTTTGACGCACAAATATAAGCTTTAATTTACAGAACTTCTAAACAAGCTGTACAAGATCACTTAACTACATGGTGGTTCAAAACACTATGCCATGACCTAAATACGCGTTTTCACCCCACTTGAACTCTTCTAAGCATACCTGGCATTGACCTTTGTAGATTTCGAAGGATTAGAACTAGTTCTTACTGTTCGTGTCTCAGGCACGTCTTTTGGAGAGCTATTGCTGGATCTAGTAGCACGAGACCTTACTGCGGTAGAGCCTTGTTCTTTCGGCATTGTCATGAAAAGGTAATTGTGTGTGGTAAGTTTTCATGAAAGATTTTAAGAACAAAGGTTATATAACGATAATATATTATAAAACAAACGGGTGACGTTTTTAAAATATACAATAGAAGATTTTGCATAAAAATATAAATGTCTCAACTTCCATATTTAGCCTTATTCATTCACGTGTTTTTGCATAATGGGACTCTCGCGCATTTTAATGAGCCTACACTAGAGCTGCTAGTCGAAATGCCTGCTCTATTCAAAAATTCTTATTGTGTTTTGCATAATGCAGCATATGGGCCGATCGGGTATTACTATACTATAATTTTCAAGAATAAAAATTAAAATTTCTAGTCATCCAGTAATCCAATTTAAATAACCTTGTTTTTATTTTGTAAAGCTTAGTGAGTTTTACAAAATAAAAAAAAGTTTATTTGAATTGGATTACTGGATGGCTAGAAATTTTAATTTTTATTCATAAAATCTACATAGTCCATTAGGTCATTTTCAAGGCAAAAGATCTAATTGTCCGACAGACTGGGATTTTTACAGGGGGATCACCAAAATTCCGGGTCGAAATATGTCGGGAGAATAATCGACCATGAAAATTCTTTTAAAATTTAGAGGCTTTAAGCCAATGAATACTTAACTAATTTAGTGGATTTTTTTTTTTTAATTCTATAATAAAAAATTTTATCGAATTTAATTAGATAATCGTTGAGAAAAGTTCGCTCAAAGTTTTAAAAATCTTAGAAAAAAGCAGGAGGCTGTAGTAAAATTGCTTTTTTTCAACTTTAAGCGAAGATATCTCAACGATTGTCTAACCAAATTTGATGAATTCTTTTTATTTTAATTCTATTGATTCAGAATTTTTTTAAAAAAAATTACAAATTTAATGAGGTAATCACTAAGAAATATTCATTTATAAAAAAACTTAGCGCAGCTTTTTTTTTATAGGTACTAAAAATTTTTTATTTAATTCTATATTTTTATAAAATTAAAATAAAAAAAAAATTCATCGAGAAAATTTCGCCCAAAGTTTTAGTACGTACCTATAAAAAAAAAGCTGCGCTAAGTTTTTTTTTAAATGAAGATTTCTTAGCGATTACCTAATTAATTTCGATAAAAAAATTTGAGTCAATATAATTAAAATAAAAAAATTTTCATCGAGAAATCTTGATTTAAAAACAAATTTATTTTTTTTTTTGTTTGACTTAAAAATTTTAAGTTTTAAACTGAAATTTCTCTATGAATTTTATTTAATTCTATTAACTTAGAATTAAAATAAAAAAAAATTCTCAAAAATTAATTTAGCATTCATTGAGAAAATTGGCTTAAAGTTTTAAAAAACCTCTAAATTTTAAAAGGATTTCATGATCAATCCACCGACAGATTTTCACTGATCGTCTACCATTTTCTAAAGAAACCGCCGTAACTCAAAATTTCGTCTATGTAACCATCTTCTGCGCATTAGTAAAAAAAATTCCTTGTAAAATTTTAGTAGAAAATAAGTATCGTTATAATTGTAAACTTGACCCTAATGTACCATTTTATGACTTTAAAAAAAATGCCGATCAGTGAAAGTCTGTCGGTGCCACTGGGGTAGTTGATCATCCAAACATGTTTTAAAAATTCAATATAAACTCAAGTTATTCTTTTAGATGGCTTGGTTTAGGTTTAGTTCAAATTTCAAAAGAAGTCTGATTTAGCTTCGTAAATATACTAAAAGCAAGGCTTCACTTTTTTAAAAAATAAATAAAAATAAAACCAATAAAGTCAATAGAGTTAACAAAAATAATGAATATTATTTATTACTCCATTGGTATTGATTATTAATCTTTAATAGACCTTATCCATTGGCCTAAAATCAACAGGTCTCTTAAATTTCGTGAAAATATCTTATATGGCCTTATAGAAAGCGTTTACAATTATACATTTTTTAAAGTTTTTAATTTTACAGATAAATGCACCAAACATTTCACTATACGTAACTCATTTATAGGCAACAAAAATTATGCTCTTAGGCCAAGATCTATTATATGCATTTTTAGATTACTCAGGCAAGTTTACTAAAAAATTAATATATATATACGACCCAACAATTTCAATTCTAGGTTATGCTCATAATTTAATAAATTAATAGGTTCTTAAGCTAAAGCCTTTTGTGCTGAGATATCAAAGAAATGGAATATACAATTAATACAATGTTGCAGATTAATAATTCAACCGATTAAATGTGATGCACATATACCTAATGTGATCTTATCTCCGAGACTTAATGCTATTCCCTGTGTTTTGCTCCTAATTCGAACATGGCCGGCAATTGCACCGTCAGTTTGTTTTTCTACACTAAGATTAGCCAATGCATCTTCGCCTACATGATGATATTTCATTTAACTGTATCATCAGTGATGTATATAGGGTTGCTAATGGAGTACTCCAGTCCATAATAAAACATATAACCCACTCCGGAGCACTCCAGAAATGGGTTATATGTTTTATTATATTCTGGAGCACTCTATTAACAACCCTAGATGTATATTTGAATTATAATCTTACCGAAGATACTACGAGCATACATGTTAGCAGACAAGAAACCACAATTCCCGGACAACGCAGTTTCTGGAGTTAGACAACTCATGTTTGTTGATTTCATAATATGAGATAGATATTCTCGTAAATCACTAATAAATAAATAAAAGTTAATAGTCATTCTAATAGCTCATTTAAAGGGACAAATAACTATACTTACGTAATATTGGTATTGACGTTGACTTTATTTTCCCATTCAAACTCTGTCCACATACTTCGAAACTAGTTGCAAACAACATGAAAATACAGATCTAATTGCACCCATATTGAATTTTACTCAACATACCTGAGTCTCATTACAATATGCAGGATTAATGTAATCCATTATATCAATGTGAATGTCATTAAGCACAACACAATTGCTCTCAGAAGTACCAGGTCCGTCATAAACAATATTACCAAAAATTACACCTGTCTCTGTAGATGAAACCTATTACAGTGAGTGCATTATCAGGAAAGTATGAAAATGAGTATAAGATTATGCTTCTCAAACAAAATCCAAGGTAGGAACATTTACTTTAATAGTAGCTTTAACACTGTGGAAACTATGGGGCGCGAGATTATGTTGTGTAGGTCTCTCAACTAGTTTTAAATCACCCAAGGTAGCAAATTCTATAGAGAGGTTCTGCAATGTCTCACTGGTTTGATTAACAATCAGGACATCTAGAATTTCACAAAAATATGTATTTGTAAACAATAATCTGATTATATATATATAGATGAGTAATTATATTGAAATACCCAGTAAAATATCATATTGGTGAACATTAACATAAGCTTCTGCGTATACAGGATCGGAAAATCCTATTAAGGAACAATAATACACATTTAACTTATAACAAAAAAAAAAAAAAAAAAGAAAAGAGGTTTGATAAGAAATACCTGTTAGTTGAACAACGCGGCTAAGTTTTGAAATCAAATCATCTCTCGGATCACTTTGGCCAGTAGCGCGTGTCAGATCCAATTCATACTATGACAAACTTAATTAATTCAGATAATAAAATTGGGGGGTTTTTTTGCGAACAAGCATATTAAAAACATTACCTCATCAGCTTCATCTCCCAAATTACGCTTTGAAAATTGTCTGAAGGAAATAAGATCATCAACTTGGACTGCTGCTACGGATTTATCTTTAGCTTTTTTTGCTGCTGTACGTTTCTAAGAGTGATTCCGGGTCAAAAATATAACATGTCAAATGAAAATAGTATAAAATAAACCCGAAAACAATATTCGAAAATTATTGAAACCTCTTCAGCTTCTACAATCCTTGCAAAGGCTGCTTTCGTATCTTGTAGGAACGCAGACTTGATTGAGGCATCAATCGAAAACTGTTCTAAAACATGCAGACAAGACATGATTCTGTCGTAGGAATCTTCATCAATAGGTGTTGACACAAATTGTGATTGCCCAACTCGTATTACACTAGCCATTATAAGCATTGCCTATATAACAAAATAAATCATGAATATAAAATTTCTATAAGTTGAATGAATATATGAAGGTACTTTTTTACCTCTGCTCTCAATGCATTCGTTTTTTTTGCATCCTTCGAGACACCAGCGTAACGTAATACCAACTTGGTCAAAGTTGCAGCGAGTACGGAACCAAGGAAGAAATCTCCACTCAATAGCAAAGCTAATAATGTATTGGTAAATTAATGTTTATTTATGGCATTGCGAATAACAGTTAAGGAGCCACATTTACATCTCAATGGTGGTTTTGCAGCTGCTTTAACAGCATCAAGTTTTGCCGAATTTAATGAATTAGATGAAAATATGGATTCAGTAGCATAAGTGCCATCAGCAAGAATACGACGAGATGATGATGTAGTGGCAGATTTATTATCAGAAACAGCATCTTCTCCTTTTTCTTCCTTTTCTGCTTCTTCAAGTAAACGCTATCAAATATTTATTAAATTAGTATAACATTATTCGGATAGTTTCATATAATTCACATAGTCAACCTGTTCTGAGGCCAAAATCGGAATTTCCCCAAGTCCAGTCCTTATTTGTTTCCAAGCTTCCTCGATATCTAAAAAAACATCAATCAATGTAACGTAATCAATATAATTTGTCTATTTAGCGAATATTAAAAACTAAAATATTTATAAGTACCTTGACATTCTGTACAATACTCTCCTACAATCCATAAGGCACCCCGAAATACTTTTCCAGATTTGACATCCATAAACGTTTCGAGCAACTTTTCCGTTATTGACGATCGTAGGTTTGGAAACTTTTCCACTACCTCACTGAAATAAGAAAAAAACGCATAAATAAATGTCTGGCAAATGTCTGGTAAATGCTTAGTAAGGTCAGTTAAGGAAGCGAGATTACCGAACAAATGCAATTACATCGATAGCAGCAGGATTATTTGAATCTCCTAAGAATTCCATGAGCACATGAACAACATTCGCTGCAACTTCAGAAAATTTGATTGCGCATCCGTGAATAGACTGAATTAATAGCTGTCTATATTCATTATTCTATAAAATACGATTTTGACAAAGTCAGCCTAAAGTATTCTCTGATATTAGTAATAACTATAATTATAACCTTTTCATAATCTTGATCAAGGGTTTTGCTGAGTTCCTTTTTTAAGAACACTACAACTTCTTGAACATTGCGACTTGAAACTAACTCTAAACCTATACGTAATGCCTTGCGTCTAACTTCAATGTCTGTACTATTGAATGAAACTAGACTTGTTAGCAACTAAACATGATGCCAAACATATTCAATCAAGTATTGATTTAGCTATTGTCAATCACAGTATCACGTTGTTTAATAATTGTCGTGAGAGCACATAAAAACAAGGCTCATTTTTAAAATAAAAATTTTCAGACCTCATCGTTAAATCAAGCCTTGATTGTAGTCAATATGTGAAAATATATAAACACCTAGTCAACACACGCAGTATATCTAATACCAGATCGTCTAAAGTTTGCTCATGCTTTTCACGCAATTCGTCCAACCGATCCAAAACAATTAATTTGACATTATTGTCAGACTCTTTAATGATTAGTTCGATGTAACAGGATGCAGCAGCTAAAAATTATTGATTAAAATGTTAATTTAATTTTGATCTGTTGTATATTGAGCGGTCTTAGACGTACCCTTAACAGCTGCGGGGGCGTGGGTAAGAGCCATTAATGAAGTAGCGGCTTCGTATTTAACTGAATGAGACGCTGCATTCAGTAGTTCAAAGATACACCGAATATATTTTCCCTAATAACATCCAGTGTCTCAGAAACATAGATAGTTCTTACAAAATAATCAATGTACTTAATAAAAAATAAAAATAAATACCCTATTTGTATTGTTATTTCTACAATCCTTCCTGATTAATTCGATTACAGACAACTGCAATAATTCATCAAAATTTGGTACTTGATCGAAAACATCATTAAGATATTCAACGGCACGTAACTGGTTCGTATTGCAAAGCATAACAAAGGCGTTCCGCTTGCAAGTTTGATCTGCTTCCTTTAAAGTAATATAAATCTGAAAATCTTATTTATTCAAGTAATTTAAACAACAACTAAATTGATTCCTACTGCTGCTAAAAAACTTTGGATCAACTCTGGGGCATCAGGGATAAGATACTCAAAATGTTTATATATGGTGTAAATTGCAAAAACTGCGTTTTTTCGGACATACGAGTGTCGATGTTCCTGCAAATATTTTAAGAGAACCCGATCAATACATAATTCAAAAAGAAGCATTAGTCATTCGAAGCACCTACCAAACAAGAACGGCATGATGGCAACAATGGCTCTAATAATTCGGGTTCACGTAGCTTGCAAAGGAAACGAAGTGTTGCACCTCTGATGTACTCATTTGGATGTTGAAGATCGTTCCTCAACGCGTTACTAAACAAATCATTACGGTTCAGAACATGCATGAAAATTTGTTCATTACCAAAATATTGATAGCCACATGAGTAGTGCAGTGGGCTTCGATATTTTTCAAATGATCAGCTAAAGCATATTTTCGAAATTGATAAATAAGTACCAACCAAACCAGAATCATTTCTTGTTTAAGCTTCCCATCAGGATTTGTTTTCGGACAAATTTCCCAGTAGAAATGAAGTAATTTTTTCAAAGTCTTATTTTTCGAAGGCATCACAAAACGAATTACATGCATAAGAAGCTGTGGAAATGGATCTCCATTGAGCATTGTAACCAAAATTTTTTTCATGGTATCAATTTTGGCTTCCTCTGAGCCTTTCTCCAGTGCTGTCTTGAGCTCCTGAAGTGAAGGCTGATCCAGGCTGTCATCTTGATGAATGATTGTATAGCAAGTTTCAGTAGCCATTTAACAGCGCGATTTTTAGAAAGAATATAGTCTTGATGCTTCGTTATTTGATTGGATAGTTAGATTATCAATTTTTTTCAGTTGTGTAACAGCATGATAGAAGTTATAGAAATTCGGTTTGATTGGATAATTAATTTATATTGACAAAATATTGTTGTACGAGTTTTTTATATTATTTTACGTACAATAGAAAATTTTTAGTGGTCCACCAACTTTCATTAAAAGCGATTCTGACTTAGATGCTGGTGAAATTAACCTATTTCGTCAGGTGAAATGGTAAAATAGCTTTACCAAAATTGCACTAAAATAAAAATTTGATGAAATGGTGAAATAATAAAATAGAATAAAATAGTAAAATGGTAAAACGTTTATTTATTAATGATTAATATTTGACTGCTTTATTTTTTTTTTTTTTTTTTGATGTTAAGGTGAGTACATGTGACCCAGAATTTTGTTAATAGTATATTGGCTAGCATTTGTTAACATAACAGACACAGAGACAATCATGGAAAGAGTGTACAACTAGTCACTCGTATAACTTTAGTCATTGTCTAATTTAAGTAGTTTATCTGAAGGTTCTATACTAATTGCTATACTTAGGATCATCTGTAGATCCTCTATTTAAACATTCTAATCCTGTATTCATCATGCTTTATTAACAACTTTTGTAAACTGGTGAAGATATATCATGATCATTAAGTTATGTTTAATTTTGTATTAAACTCATTAAAGTTTTTTGTATATTATATTTACAATTGATCTGATATTGTTTTGGTTTAAATTATCATTTGTAATTAGAGTTAACCATTAAATTGTTATATCTTTATAAGGTTTATTCAAACCTCAATATTTATTTTTCTGACATCTTTTTTATCATTTTCTATTAGTCACAGTTAAGAACTAATAGGATTCTTTAAACTTTCAATTCAAATAGTCTGGTATAATATACTTTTAGTATTCTTTTTTACTGATAATTTTAACAACCTGGTTGATCATGTGTTTTTTTATACATTTTATTATTTGATTTATCTACTTATTCTTACTAAAGATATTTTATAGGGTTTTATTAATTTGATAATATCATCAAAAGTTTATACTACTGTTATAGGTAAAAGCCTTCTTAATTTTCATACTATAATGATGACACGGTACAGAGAATCCCTTACAGATATATGTGATGTTCAAGAGAGAAGTATAGCTTCTGTTAGACATTATTAAGAAACTATATCCTTCTTTGAGGCAGTTCGGGAAAAGTAATGCAATACTAATAACTTTACTTTATTTTACTTAGAGGAAATAAACCTTGCCTATAGGAATTACTCTAGAGGAGGAGTATCAATACAGTTTATAGTCAAAAGTCATTTATTAAAGTAATAACAAGAAGGGTTATCCTTAGGTTTCTGTTCCTAAAGAATTCCAAGATGGGT